TTTAAAAACAATTTTAAATGTTTAAAAATTTAAAAATAAAACATTTAAAAACAGAAAATGAGCAGTGGAGGGGCAGAGAGAGAGGGAGACACAGAATCCTAAGCAGGATCCAGGCTCCGAGCTGTCAGCACAGAGCCCGACGCGGGGCTCGAACTCGCAAACCACAAGATCATGACCTGAGCTGAAGTCGGACACTTAGCCAACTGAGCCACCCAGGCACCCCTCAAAAATACACATTTTAAAAAAAAGAAACTGAAGAAAAATTTAATTTAATGGACAAATGTATACTTTAAACATTAAACCTACTGCAAACCAACCAACTTTTCTAATTACTTACAAGTCCCCACTTAGATCTTCCAATCATACCTTACTAACTCAACCGATCAAAGGATCTCAACTCAAACCTGACAGGAGTGAGAAACGCAACTGGTTGATGGCCAGCCTCTGCCACCTTGTCACAGGTGAACCCACTGCTGCCCCTACCCCCGCCCACTGCACCCTGCCGCCAGCCTCAGCCCCACTTGGCAAAAGGGCCTCGTTGCCCCAAGTGCTTCCTGCTTGTGTCAGTGCTGACGGTAAAACTGAGGATCCATCGTTCCAAGAGATAACGCCTAGGGTGCCCTTGGTGGCCCCCAAACACAACTTCCTCTTCCCTTCCACCTGCTCTGTAAACACTGCATGCAACGCAGAAGCCCCAAATACCAGGCGCTTGGAAGTCATGAAGCCGCATGTCTTTAAAAAATTAGCTGACATGTAGATTTTCTATGAATTCACATTCTCCTGCTCCATGGCAACTGGAAAGCAGAGGTTACTGAGTTTCACTGCGGCCCTTCCCAGCTAAGCCCCTCCTGTGGGAAGCTCCACCCTCCTGATTAATTAGTGGTGAGTGGGCGGGGCGCCAGACGTCCAAGTCTGAGGCCTCCTCTCACTTTCAAGCCCAAGTATCACCAGCGAAGTTGTAACCAATCCTAGCGGTTATTCACACAGTCTTTCCCTCTGAGCGCTGGTCCTTCCGGTCCTGGACTGTAACCTCTCTCCTTCTGAGCCTCTGCCTTTGCTGCCATAAATTCAAAAAACCCCCTGCTCCTCCTCAGAGCTGTCCCTCTCCGCTCTAATAAATTTCCTCTTATCTTTTTATCTTCCTGCCCTGCTCTGAATTTACACCTTTCTCTCAAGAGTGTGAGTGGCTTCTGAAAATATTCCATTATTCCAGGAGCAAGAAGCTCAGGCAATTTCTTCCTGGAAGTAGGTTTCGCTCCTAATTTTCTGTACGAACGTTTCTTTAACTGCTTCATCGCTAATTCTGTACTGACTCCATCAGACAAGGAATTAGGATCCTGACCCTTTAGGCTGGTATTTCTTTACAGAGCGAGCTCACTTAAAAAATAATACCTGATTCATTTATTCATTCATTCATCCACTGGCTCAACCAATCAACAACAAATGAAAGGCATCATAGCAGGTAAAAAGGTATGTAACATGTGTTCGCTGTCCCCAAAGAGCTTAAAATCCAGAAAAATACATAGAATCAGAGACAGTAAGAAAGAAGGACCATATGGGCATATGTCCTATGGTATGAATATTTATAATACAGAGTTGTGTTTGTACACTCCTGACAAGAAGAGTCAAAGTAAAAAAAAAAAAAATCAACGTGTACTTCCATCCGTCTATAGTTCAAAGTGATCAGTTCCCTTGTACTCTATATTCAACATTAATGAAGTCCTCTATTTCATCTTGGTATGGCAAATAAAGTATAAATTGCCCACCTTTTTTAGACTTGTTTTGAACTTGGAAATCAAAGCATGGTTCTGATTCTCCTTCCCTAAACACTTGCTTTACCAAGAGAGTCAAGTTATTTTGTAGACGGTCAAGTTATTTTGAAAACCTCTCTTTTTATGTAGTACAGGGTGGGTTCCAAGAGTCGATTTACTACCACACCACTTGCTACTGCCCTGATTTCTACTTGCTGCCTTGAATGTATATGCGTCTCACTTTCCTAGGTCCAAAGATAAAGCTTAAATATAAAGATCTTAAAAATGGGGTCTGGAAACACAGCCGCCATGAGAGACCTGCCCATCTTCAACAGTGTAAATACTGGGGAGAAGGTTAAAATTGAAGTTGAGGAACTGTGTATTTCAAAGTGCTTTGGCTCATTAAAGTCATTTTTATTTTAAAGCCTTTATACCAGAGTTATTTGCATTGCTACTGCATAAACTCTGAGGCCTATGGTATTCAAAAATGTTTTATTATTCTATTCGCTCCCCCAAAAGATGAATACGCCTTCAATTTGAGAATGGAAAAGTTTTGGAAAACAGGTATTCAGTACACAGAAACACTTCGCCAAAAATGATCAGGATTTGAACCACGCTTTCCTTTGAGTTTGTATTTCATATTGATCCTCCTGAAAATATATCTGTTAGCTTCTGATGGGAGGGAGGCTCTCACTGTATTCTTGGCACTCCAGGCATTCAGAAAAGAATCATGTGGTATTAATTTAGAGAAGCAAAAACATCCCACAACTAAAAGCTGTAAAGGATACTCACAGAGGAGGCACAGTGATCTTCCAAGGGCTCCTGACCGGCAAGCCCTCGGAGAGGCCCAGAGAGCCGGCCTTGGACGCTCGGCCTCCCTCTACCCCAATCCAGGCTCTGCACAACCGGGCACCTACCGCTTGCTTTGGCTTCCGAGTAAGAGGGGCCGTCCTCGAAAGTGAAGATCTGGGACACGCTCTGGCCCAGGTAGGAGGGAGGCGGGTAGTAAGAATGCATTCTGTACTGGGAGCTCATTGCGTGGCGGTTCTCCGAGTTCTTCATCTGCTTGAGAAAAAAAGAAAGGCGACGTTGAGCCCAAAGCTGCATTTTACAATTATTACAAGACCTGCCTATAAGGGGAATAGCCCACTGATGCTGGGAGTATCCTCAACCATGAACAGAGCATGGACCGCAGCTATACTAAGGATGTGTGCCTCCTCACAGTGCCTCTTCTATCTTGGGGTCCCTGCTAGAGCTCCCCTAAAGCCCCACTTAGTCACATGATAATTAACCAGCACTACGGAAAACACAGCAATAGAGAGGAGACAGCACGGCGTAGGAGCTGGCTCGTCGCTGTAACTCCGTCTAACTTATTTGGCCAGGAGCCTCATGTGTAAACCTGGCATCTTACCTTGGGTTAGCTCACGGTATTCAGAGAAAAAGAATATTTTAGAGGCGCCCGGGTGGCTCAGGTCATGATCTCACGGTTCAGGAGCTGGAGCCTGCTTTGGATTCTGTGTCTCCCTCTCTCTGCCCCTCCCCTGCTCGCGCACTGTCTCTCTCTCGCTCTCAAAAGTAAGTAAAAATATTTTTTAAGAGAATTTTTTTTTTTTTTTAATTTTTTTTTTCAACATTTA